CATTTGGGTGGGAAAGTAGAGTTGTCAGATTAAATACATGACACCCAGTTAAGTTTGAATTTCAGATACACATGAGTAATTTTTTAGTATAAGTATGTTCCAAATATTGCATGGGACTTATACTAAGAAATTATTTGTTTACATGAAATTCAAATTTACCTATGCATCCTGTGTTTTATTTGCTAAATCTAGCAAACCTATGGGGAAAGGACAGCAAAGAAAGTGCTTCATTTCTGATGTTAAGTAGTAGAGACTAAGAGACTATCACATTTTCTTCTTGAAATATTCAAGAAATAAAATTCTAATATATATATTTTTACAGTAGAAATTGCAATAGAACTAAAAACACAAATACCTTTCAAAATAAGAGAAAATAAAAAGCAAAGAATATTCAGTCGCTATAGCCAAAGACAGAAAAAACCCAAGAAGATGTCCTAAAAAATTTAAGAACATGCATCAAGATGAGAGAAAACCAAATTTATCAAAATAGGTTAAATCTCCCATTAAAAAGTTTTGAAAACCCTTGATTGAGTTAAAATGTTTACTTATATGCTATTACAAATGAAAACATTAAAGTAAAATGATATTGAATAATTGATCAGTTGCTCAATACTAACTTACTAATTTTACTGATGTAAAAGAACAGGCTAAGTTTATTAGGCAAACATAAAGGAGTGTCTACAATATGTTTTCATAAATAAAAAAATGAACTAAACCCATTAAAGTGGGTAAAAATATAAAATCCAACATTTTCTTAAACTCTTGCAATAATCATAAAATAAAATGGGTAGAAAAAACATGATTTGTATAATAACACTAAAATGTCTTAACAAGGAATAAAAATGTAGAATGAAAATAATGAAAAACAAAACATTCAATTGAAAATAAAAGTGCACTTGAATAGAAAAGTCTTACTTACTTTTAGAAGGAATGTTCCTAAGTAAATTTATAATTTATTTAAAGTCTCATCAAAATCCCAATGATATTTGAAATTAAAAAAATGAGATTCTAAAACTTTTAAGAAAAATAAACATTGGAGACAGAGATAATTATAAGAAAGATTAAGATTGTGAACAGATAATGCTATATTGAAGTTAAAATAATGGAGAACTTGGTTATATATTTGAAAAATGTTCAGAATGCTCAGTCACTAACTTAGAAGTAGACCAGGGTATGGAGAGAGAGAGAGAGAGAGAGAGAGAGAGAGAGAGAGAGAGAGAGAGTGTGTGTGTGTGTGTGTACCGGGGGTGCCAAAAAAATGTATACAAGTGGATATTTTGGTCAGTATTGCTCAAGTAGTAGTTCACTGTAATCAGAAGTGTCTGGACACTAATGGTAACCACTTTGAGCACCTCTTGTAATTACAAAAGTCAAATGTGAGTTGTATTCATCTTTTGTTGTCGGCATATATGGAGTATTACAATTTTAATAGTTTTCCTTTCTTAAAATGTGTATACATTTTTTTGGCACCCTCTGTATATACATATCATGTCGTGCATAAGCTAATATAATTTACATATGATAAAGATCAATGATAGGAGGTTTCTTCATTAAAGCTGAGAAAATTATTTCTTTGGTGAAAAATAAAATTAGGCTTTTATCTCATTAATTATATCATATATATGTATATGTGTGTATATATACTGATTAAAGCACAAGTTTTCAAGCTGTATTCCAAGAACCTACATATGGTTTCATGAAGGCTGATTAATCAGAAACAAAAGAATCACAAACTTAACCCCATTTTTATATGAGTTATATTCAAAATTAGCACAAGATTTCCTCTTTTTAAAAAAGGAGGTTCTACCACTTTAAACATAAAATGTTTAAAATTCAATAAAGTGGGTTTTTATATTAAAAACACATATGCATTTTTTGAGAGTTAGATGAAATGGAAGAATCCAGAAAACAATACCTAGAATTTTGACCACATAAAATTTTTTAAACTGTAGGTTAAAAACATATGGAAGTCAGGCAACAATAGGAAAATATTTGTGATGATTATGAGTTACGAACTTTTATAAATTAATAAAATGGACATCTAGTAAAAAATTGGCAAAGGACATCAACAGATTAAAGCAATAAAGTATCACTTTATTAAAAATTATAATAGCAATTTTTAGTGAGTACAGAGTGGTGGATATTTATACACTACATATGTTGAGGGTAAATTGATACATATTTTTTGGAAAAGCTTTTTGGCAAATCATGAGTCTTAAAATTATTGATACTCTTTTCTGCAGTGATGTCATATCTAGGCATATATCCTAGAGTTACACACTGTTCAGAAATTTCTATTTGCAAAAAACAGAAATCCACTTTGGTTATCTCATTTAAATATGGAGTTATATAACATTGTATTTTAAAATCTCACCAAAATAATCCAAGGGCAGAAGCTTCAATATGGGAACTTGTACAAAGCCATTACTCAATGAGGCTACTCTTTCAAGAGCTTATTTGTTTCTCTTTGGGTATCCTTTTCTCCCTACAGATTGACTTATTTACTCACTCTATGTATGCGTATAATTGCGGTCACATCCCTGAATATATTTTTTTCAGTTTTGTTGCTCACCACTAACTTGTAACTTCCTTCTGGATCTCTATTCAGATTTCTGAGTGGGAGAAGATGATTGACTCAACATATCATTACTACCTCTGGACAAGCCTTTGAGGTCAGGCTAACCCATAGGCTACTGGTAAGCCTTTGGATTGGCTAGCTTTGTATCAGATGGTCACTCTGGTCCCTTCAGACATGCCCAGGGATGGGGTTCTAAGGTATATGACATGGTCATTAAGGGCTGATGTTCAAATAGGTTTCCCCAAAAAGTTGTTGGTTTGGCCAAGCATTCTAAACTTCATTAGAACACACACAAAGATAAATATTCAAGATATTTATTGCAGTATTTTTTGTTGTCCTCGCCACATAAAGTCAAATAAATTATGATGCATCTGTACAATAGAATGTTATTCAGTCATTAAAACGTTTTTCAAGAATATTGTAATGATAAGAATATACTTATGGCATTAAGTGAAAAGTACAAAATGTAAACTGCATATGGAGTAAGATTCCATTTATATATATTTATATGGATATTTCCATGGGTAAAATATTGGGTACATTTAAAACTGTTATTAGTGGGTCTCTTTGATAGGATGGATTGTGGTTCTCTTTATGTTCTTTGAACTTTTCTGTATCTTTTATATTTTGGTGTCTTATTTTCATAAAAAATAAAAATCATTTTTACATACAACTTATTTAAAATGTTACATGATATTCTATTGTGTGGCTATACTTTAATAATTATACTATCAGGGACTTTTCATTTTTATATCATGAACTGATCTGCTATAAAGGTCATTATGTATGAGGTTTTCTATTAGGTAATTTTTATAATAATTTTCTATATTCAGTTATTGGGTTAAAAGATAGCAGGTATAACTTGTGTGAAGAACTGGAATAATGAAATTACATGATGTATACAGCTAACTAGAAGTAGCTTAACACTGTTGGGGTTTAACGTGTATAAATGGAAGGAGAGGTTAGAGGATGGCCAGATCATGAAAGACTTCCTATGCCAAGCTAAAAAGTGGAGAAACATTAAAGAGGCTTCAAGAAAGGAACAACACTCATTTTGAAAAGACTACTTTAACAACACTGTGGAGATTAGGTAAGTTGTAGCATAAGGGGAAGAGAATGAGCAAGAATGGAGATCCACAGACCATTTAGCAGACAAAACTAGGTATGAGTTTAGGCAGGAGAGAGTTTCCTTTTTAATTGTTGGTTTAATTTTTCCCTTTATTATTGTGCTCACTATAGTAAATTTGGAAATCATATTCACTAAAAAAAACAAACGAGGTTAAAGGTGGTATGAAAAGCCATTGGAGTGTTTTAAGTGAAATGATAACTTTAAATTTTACAGGCTGACTCTGAACGCTGTGTTAAGAATTGACTGAAGGTAGAGGCTACAGCCAAAAGCAGGGATTCTAATGAGGAGGTACTGCAGTAACACCTAAGAGACAGGAGGTGTTAACACCGTGTTAACAGTGGAGATGAGAGAAATCAAATTTTGAATATATTTTGAGTATGATGAATATATTAGAAGATAGTTTTAAAACTGGACTTTAGATAGTATTTTAATAGATAAAAAGGCCAAAATGTTTAAGACAAGAGGAATTGCTTGTAATAACTTGTAGTTGGACACAGTGTTTTAGGGCCAGTGAAATTAGTCTGTCCAGAGTAATGATTTCATGTGGGGCTTTGAGCTACTCCTAAAAGTCTAGGGTTTTTTCATCTGAATAACATAAAGTTCAGATTCTGCCATGGGAATAGTGAAATGCAGCCTTGGGGAGGAGTCAGGGGAGGCTTTCCAGAACGGTTCTAATCTTAGTCCAGAATTGAAATAAAGTAGGGGTGGGGGGTGGGGGGTGGGTAAAGTATTTCCAGCACAGTGAACAAAATATGTAAAGTCTTAGGAATAAGTGTAGCCTAGTGGTTAAGAGCT